TCACTGCATGCTAAGGAGAGGAAAGTGCAGGAGTGAACGCCGCCCCTGTCAAGCCTGCTTCTCTGATCATCAGACCATCTTGTCCACTGTGCACAGAGAAGGACAACCCAGGGTTGACATGAAAGGGTTTTACTCTCTCGAGTCAGCCACCTATAGGCTGAAGAATGCCAAATATTCACTTTCAAAGTCCCAAAGTAAAGTGCAGCTTAGGGACAGCTCTTCAAAAGCCGACGAGAAAAACACCTCAATGAACTGCATTCTGTAGCAAAGTTCTGAGATCCCACTGGATACTGGAAGGCAAGGGTAGTTCCTAGATTGACCCCAGTTCTCACTTGCTGGAGCTTATTGGTTGGATCTAAAGTGTCCCTCATAGATTCACGTATTGGAACACCTGTTCTCCACCTGTGGATCTCTCTTTGGAGGTTATGGATGATGGAGGCAGGGCACAAGGGCACTAAGGGTGGGTCTTTGAGCCCTATAACCAAGCCCTGCCCACAGTCCTACTCTCTCTGATTCCATATCTGCCGAGGTATAGCAAGCTGTCTCTATGTGTTCCCATCACTACGGGCAGAGCCACTCCAGGCACAAAGCTTTACTTCTCCCCAAGATGCACTTGTCCCTCCAAAACCGTGAGCTGAAACAAATCTTTTCTCCTCTAAGTTGTTCAGTCAGGTATTTTGGGGCACAGCAATAAGAACAGCAAAAACACTTTGACTATGCTATGTGACTCATCTCTCTGCTCTGTGCAAGTCTGATTTATATTCTCCTTCGTATCTGACATGGGTGTTGTCAGTCATGCCACAATCAAGCCCTAGAAGCCTTGATTCTGTCTACAGAGTCGGGTCATGGTCACTGTTCTCAAAGAATTAACGATATCATGGCCAGATCCATGGTTTCTTCAGCAGGATGATTCCTTTAGAACCCAGAGTTTCACAGACAAGTTCAAGAGTTATAACCACTCCTGGGGTGCTGGATAAAGTTCTACTTTCCAGACATAGACTGCTCCCATTACCAACTCCTCCTTGCAATGCATCTTTCTCCCAGTTACTGGCAATCACACAGGGGCCGCTAGGCTAGAATGGGGTATTCCCACTCAAGTTACTTTATCTTAGTGAGAAGTCTTGTTTTATACCTCTTCTTTCTTGTGGTTTGCAAGCATAAATATGCTCATATGTTAGTGCTCTCTTTATCTCTTCTTGTAGACAAGGCCATCTCTTTCTTCTCACAAGGTACCAAATGGCACCAAGAATATCCAGTTCTCTCAAATCCTTGCCCAAGACTGATTCTTCCAGTTAAATGACAGTTTTGTTCAATGCTTGCTATGGGATTATTTGGGGCTTTGTCTTCCCAATTTCTGATACTTGATTCTTCTATGCCTCTTAGTGAGTCACATATGCCACATAGCTCAAGTTCCTGTACCCTTGGTACCAATGTACTGATTGTTTTCAAAAGCAAATTTCCAAATAAGAACTTCACTTAATTGCTTGTTTCTCATTCATGTCACAGTCCAGTATGGGTCAGGTAGTTCTTCATTTCATAGTAACCCTGAAGGATATACCAGACCCAAAAGGAGTTATAAGATCCCATCATGATAATTCCAAGGGTCATTGGGGTTTAAATCTTCCTTAGAACTTGGGTTCTCTGACACTCAACATCTTCTTTTTCTCATTTTGCATGATGGTGCATAACTTCCAGCATCTTCCTGGAAATATTTTTATCTAGGTAAAATCTGAATCCTTGCATCTTTGAATTGTCTTTACTGTGTCCCACATTTATTAATTACATTTTTAAGATTCCCAGCTTGAGAATATGAAATCCTTCAGAAGTCTGTGGTCATTGCTATAACATCTTCTAACTTCTGAGTCTCCATGAAAACAAAAGGTCTCATTTTTATTCCTTTGTGTGTCCTTTTCAATTTTGGCTCTGGTGTGTGTGTGTGTGTGTGTGTGTGTGTGTGTGTGTGTGTGTGTGTGTGTGTGTGTGTGTGTGTGTGTGTGTGTGTGTGTGTGTGTGTGTGTGTATCTTTTTTCCCCATATAATTTTGTAGAATTTTTCCTTGTGGTGTAGTAATTCTTTTTATCGCAGTTAGGTTTTGTAGCATGAGAACTCATATCTTTCCATGTGGATTATGTTCTCCCTTCAGCGTGATTACTGCTGCTGGTTTCCTTTCTGAATGCTTGATGCTTACACACCACAGCACCTGAACTACTTTTTATGATTTTACTTCCTAACTTTTTTGTGTTTGGTATTTTGTTAAATTTCAGAAGAGATTTCTTTAGTATTATATTCTAATTTCTTTAGATTTTTTTAAATCAAGTTTTATTTTTTTAAGAGCTGTGTTATGGCCTCAACATTTTTCTTTGTATGTCAGCCCATTTCTCACCCACAGGTGCTATCATTTTTTACAAGTATTTTGGAGTTTTTTGTTGTTGTTGTTGTTGCTTTTCAGATATTTCGGATCATCATTAACTATCAGCTGAGTATTCTCATGAAACACTAGAAAGAGAGCAGGACACTCTACCTGGATGAGGGGAGCCTGTGAACTCAGAGAAGATGGAATGTCTGTCTTGGTGTCAAGATTCTGTAGTAGACTACTAGAAGAGGCAAGTGTGCAGTTTCTACTCTCCGTGGTAGAGCCTCCACATTTATATCAGGCATACCTCTTTCAGTCATGCTTTGATGCTTCAGGCACACAGGCTTACTTTTTTATTTTCTTTTCCAAGTAATAAGTTTAATTTCATTCCTGGGTGGGAGAAGAAGACCTATAGTCTGAGAATAGAACAGAGGATCTTACCACTTCAACAGCTCTCAATCCTTTGTACTGGAGATCATCCTTTCTGGAAGCTCCTGAGCAAACACACTCTCAACTCTGGAGCTTTTTGGAAGACCGTAGTATAAACAAGGTCAGTCCTTCCCTCTCTATGTTTGAGAGTTAGCCTTCTTGCATCTGCTAGATTGCTTACTGTATAATCTACTTGTTTTCCGGTTTCAGACACTGTGACTCCAGGCTTCCAGTTCACTCTATCCATGTCAACTCAGATCTAGGAATGAGGGACTGTGTCTGCAAGCTGCTCCTTGCCCTCCTCCTGAGAGTCACAGATTTTTTTAAATCAAGGGCTGCACTTGACCAAAGTCCTCCTTGTCCCCTGGAACAGCATCCCAGACTCCCTTTCCAAGATGTCTTTAGCGCTTTCAAGCATTGGCTCCTGCACCAGTGCATCAATCTGCATTGCCAGCATGCACACCCTAGACCTGGAGCATGCCATAGAAAGGACCCTTCGCAAAGAGTGAGTCGTGCATGTGCTGAGGTTGGGGTGGTTCATGAGACTGCACCATCATCCCGCCCCATGACAGTTCAAAGTTGTATTCTCCATAGTTGCTTGCTGTCAGCTAAAGCAAATGTTCACCCATTATTTCCCTTTGTCTTAGGGGAGAATATTTGTCAACATGGAAGGATATGCTGTAACAGCTGTTAGCTTAATATGTAACTTTCAAATATCTATGCCTTTGCTGAGGAGCACTGCAAGTATTAGGCCCAGCCTGCCCCCATCTTTATAGCTGTATAAACTGAAAAATAATTTTACTGTGTTTCAAGAAGGAGCAAGAACAGACATGGGTGGTCACTTACCACCCTGTACCAGAAGTACAACACTGTTGCCTCATTCTCCATTCAAGATGGCTGCAGGTTGTATGATGTCTTACCTCTGAAATGACACTTCACCTTCCATTTTGCTAGTTTTTTAAGCTCATAGTGCCACTGCTGATCACTGAAGCATGATAAAGGAAATTTGGAAGGAATACTTATTCTTGTGATTTTTGCACATGAGTATTCCTGCAAGTTTTCCTCTTGTACATACTTATTTTCCTAGAAAACTCTTTTTTATGAAGGCTTCTACATCTTTTCCTTTCTTTTCACAGTATCCTATCAGACTGCCTATTCAGGATATGATATCATCTTTAGCACAATTGCCTGCCCACTGTAAAAGCCCGGTGAGCATTTGTGTAGCAGTTTAGCTACACAGCACTGAGTCGTAAACACTTGACATCTGTGTGAAGGGACATTGTTACCAATGATAACCAGACAGTCATATTGGCATGCTTCCTTCCAAATGAGTAGCTTGGGATCGTGTAGAATAATCTCAAAACAATCAAAAGAGCTAAATGTCTGCCTTTTCACATACTTGGTTTCATTCCAGTGAGTAAGGAGCACCTAATACGAAATGTGCTAATGTTCTCAAATTTCCCATTCTGGATGCGTCTTCCTTAGTGTGTGCCTCTTATTGGTCTGTTGGAAGTGACATCAAGGTATAGTCTATGCTTTCTGTTGAAAGCTAGAGTCAAGACAGGGAGGAAGCTGACACTCTGAAGTAGAGGAACTGACTAAGATGTAAAGGTTAGCACAGCCTTAGCCAGCAGCTAGGGTAAATCCCGGAACTATTTCAGCAGTGTTTATTCTCAGAGATGTTGGGCCTGCAGGCCCTGACATGTTCCTCTTCTTGGGAGCAATCATGGAAAGAACTCCCCAGAGAGCATTCCCATGGCAATTCAGTAAGATAGCTGTGCTTCAAATCTGGATCATTTATTGACCCAGAAATGAACTACCTCAACCAGCATTTAAGATATGTTGTACAGCTGACTCTTCTCCAGAAAGATAAAAATTATCCAAGAGAGCAGTATATTACTCAAGAAAACTGCAAGCTCCATGTGGGTGCTTTTCCCGGCAAGGACACAGAGAAAGGGAACTCATCATGAATTCAGGCTGATCCCTGCCTTCCTAGACCTTGACCCCATTTCCTTGATTCTTAAGAGATGCCTATTGAATAGACTAACTCAATACATCAGGGTCCCTCCCTTCTCCACTGCTTAGCAAGTGGAAACCTACCTAATTCCGTTGGCTTTAACATTAAAGGGGATCTGTGAATTTGAGATGAACAGGAGACCTTTGATGAAACTCTCTGTGTCTGTCTGAGTTGGCAACCCAGTCTCTCAACCGAGGTTGAGGTTTTTTTGTTTGTTTGTTTGGTTTTTTGGCAAGATGAAGAAAAACAGACAGGAGTCTTCAGTCAAGAAATTCTAATTTTAAGAGGTTGAGGATGTAGCACAGTGGTAGAGCACTTGTCTAGCATGCTTGGGGCCCTAAGTTCAAACTCTTGTACTTCAAAAAGCCAAACAAGCAAAACATTTTTAATTCTAAATTTTAAATTTAAAGAGAGTTCCATGAATTTTATCCAGTAGTTTCTGTGAAACCAGGAAATTTCCACCAATCTATTTCATCCACTGGTGTTTGCTAGGTACTAGTTCCTACAGTTTCTACTTTTGAGAACCAGGAGCATGTCCCCATGCTCTCCTCTTACCATAAAAAATGTGTAAAAATTTGACTCAAACTCAAAGCAATTTAAAATATTTGACTAGCAAAGAGAAATCTGACTAGCAACAGGAGAAAAAGTGAATAGACAAATTTTAGAGCTTGTGTTTAAAATTGAGGGGGAAGGTGATATAGGCTAGAGTCTAGATATTAAGGGTTGGCTTTTTCCCCAAACAAAAGACAGTATAAGCACAGAGTCTAGAAGAGCTCAAAGTATTATAAAGCAGCACCCTTTGCTTTTAAAAGTTATTCAACAATGGATTTGGACTTGAGCCTTAGGCCTCATTTAGCATTCGTGGTGAGCCAGAAAGACAAGCTGGGATTCTGTATTTCTGACATCATGCTTCCCTCCATGCCCCTGCCCCTGCCCCTGCACCTGTTCCTGTACCTGCCTCTGGCCCTGTGATTGTGTCTGCCCCTGATTCTGCCTCTCTGCCTCTACCAAGAGGAAGCATGATTCAAACAACACATAGTTTTGTTTACAGATGAAAAGACTGTCAACAAAGAGCTCCAGTTAGTCCCTGTAGACATCAAAAATGCCTTACTATTCTTAGAAATGTTCCCCTGTGACATTTAAGGTAGAGGTGCCATTGTAAAACTAAAGCAAATGGTCTTCAAGTTTGTATGTGGCCACTTAAAGCTATTTGTGGGAGAGGAAGAGACTCAATCAGAACCATAAGCATAAATGACTACTGGCCTTTCATTCACATAGGAAGCTGGTGGGCCATCCTTGTTTCTCACATGTCTGAGTCTGATACTAAGTCACTATTGAGAACTCTGATAGAAAAGAAAATGCTTCTGGAGCAGATGAAGCAAACCCCTTACTGCTTTTCCCTCTTAGTATGAATACAGATACTGATACACTCTCTCTGGAATATTCCCAAAGTGACAATCTCTTTATGGATGACTATGTTTCCATCAGCAGCTCCGTCCTTCCTTTCAAAGTCTTTCTGATGTTGCAAGCTCAGCAAACATTGGTTTTGTTACCAGAGACCTGGAAAAAGACCTCAGTCTTAGCATGGTGAGACCTTAGGTTAGAAACACCTCCCTTAGTTCACTTTCCCTGACAAAAACAAAATGGAAATCAGAAGGATGTTTAAAAGAGCTTTTAACGACAGCAGAATAGAGGGAAAAGCTAGAGCACCTTGCACAGGGCAAAGTGACTAAGCCAGGAGCAGAACAAAGAACTAGTTACCTCATGTTTTCCCTCATTGAGGATTACATTGCAGGTTAAACTGGAAACAGGCAAACAGGCTTCTGCCTACAAACCAGGCTTGTCCATGAAATCCAGGCTCCTGTCTTTGGGCCCCAAAATAAAGAAATAATTAGCCATATGCTATTACTATTAGTTTAAGTTGGTAGTTGGTGGAGAGCTATTCAGGGTGGTCCAACATCTAAGATGTGTGTTTGAGAGAGGAAAGAGGTAACTCCATCTGCTGTTGTTAGTTTACCTTTTTGTTTTGAGCTAGCTGAAAGCAGCCCTGCTATTGGCTCATCATTAACTCTACAGTCATAAGCGCCAAGCTTCTCTGTTGGCCCATTTTTACCTAAGTAGTGGCAAGCAACTTAAGAGTCATTTCTGGACAAACATGGTATGTACTCACTTATAAGTGGATTATTATCTATAAAGTAAATGATAATCATGCTACAATCTACAGACCCAGTGAGGCTAAGTAACAAGGAGGGCTCAAAAGAGGGACTCATGACTCTCCCTGGGACAGGGAAATGGAATAGATTTCACAGGTGTACTGAGCGCTTATAGGGATGGATACATGAGGGATCAGGTGGGAAGGTGGGGGGAGAAAGTACAGGGAAAGATGACTGGAATTGGGGGCACATTTGGGGGGGCAAGATAGAAACCTAGCACAATGTAAACTCCTTGAAATCTACAAGGGTGATTCTAGAGAAGACTCCTAGTAATGGAGGATATGGAGCCTGAACCAGCCATCTTCTGTAATCAGGCAAAACTTCCACTGGAGGGACTTGGACACCAACCTAGCCACAAAACCTTCGACCTACAACCTGTCCTGCTTGCAAGATGTGCTGGGGTAAAGGGGGTGCAGAACTTGTGGGAGTGGCCAACCAATGACTGGTCCAACTTGAGACCCACATCACAAGAGGGAGTCCATGCCTGACATTGACGAGAAGACCAGGAACCAGAGGCTGGATAGCCCGGAGACCTAGGATAGAACCAAACACGACTGCCCCCCCCAAAAAAAGAGGAGAGAATCACTTCTGAAAAGCTAGCATTTGAAAACTTTAAGCTTCCCCTGTGAGATTTTCTTCCAATTTCCCAACTCATCTGCCCCCACGTGATTGATTCTCCCCCGTGAAGAAGAGGCTACTACATACGTCTGTGGGAAAGGAATCACCCCACAGTCCAAAGAGTCTTCTCCTGGCTTTGGAGAGGGTAAAATCATCTAGAATGTGTCTTCCTTGGTGATACTCTTGCCTTGGAAGACATTCTGTCCCATTCGAGTGCATTCCTGCCTACCCTTGGGTAGAGTGGAAATAGCTACTTCTCTGTCTGAAGCTACCATCATCACGGTAAGGTAGGTCCTCAGAACCAAGCCTGCATGAGACATATGCAAGCTGCACTGCTAAGCTTTGGGTGCAGAGTGCAGTCGGGTTTGTGCAGAGTTGAACCACATGGGATAGGATCCGGAAGTGGTTTCCTTTCCACTCACCAATGCCTGCAGGAGATTCCATCCCTTTTGAAACCTTTTTGCCCCACTCCCCACCCCCCAATACACACACACACACACACACACACACACACACACACACACACACACACACACACACACACACAGTTTTGTCTTTAGGAATGAAAAATATAGTCCCAGCTATTTCCAAATCAAAACTTGAAACTTATGACCAGGCAACCTATTAAAACTTTTTTTTTCTCCACCTAGTCCAGTCTAGTTTCAGATTTGGGAATCTGCCTCTTGGAAGGAACCTTTTTCCTGAACCACTTCACTATTCCCAATACACTGTCTAGTTTCTCAGATACAAGAGGAACGAGAGGGAAAAAAAAATGAAATGTTACATAGATGATTCTTATGTGAGGAATTCTCTTGCCTCAGTCAGGCAAATGCTGACTTTAATTAAGGAAAGCAGCTATTAGGTGCTAAAGACCATCTAAGGGTCCCCCAGTGATAGTCTCTAAATAAAGCAATGCTTCTTTTGGCCTAGCCCTTGTGGTTCCAGACCTGACAACTTGCCTATAGGAACCTCTTCCCTGTACAGATCAATCTTTTGAGATGAGATAGCTTGATCCTGGATCCTTCCCATAATTGCCTGATGCCTTAGGGGATACACTCTTTTCTCTTAAAACAAGACACATGCAGCTTTGCTCTGTGTGCCTTGTTTGCCATAGCCAGCTTCTCAACTTCTCCTCCTGACACAGCCAGCTTCTCAACTTCTCCTCCCAAGGGATACCTGACAACCTTTCTAATGAACTCTGTGTTCTTACAGCAACCCAAGGCAAGCTAATGAGTTTCTAAACCCCAGAAGGCATTCATCTAGAATATTTAAAATGTTTCCCACCTTTGAAAAGATAACCCCAGTCCGTGAGACTTTAATGTCATGCTAACTGCATCAGATTCATCTGAGTAATGAATGAAAGCAAAAAGAGGCAAGACCAGTCTCAGTCATCTTTTTTCTCCTCCCTGGGGTGGGGGAAATATATAACTGGCTTTCCTCCTACAAATCAAATAAAGGATCAAAATAATTAGCCTAATGAATTGCAATTTTTCCATTCATGAAGTAGACTTTGATGGTGGGCACAATTGTTCCAAACACAAGTCTGTTTGTCCTAGAAATGAATGTCAAGCTCTGTCTTGCTGATTGGCCACAGATTTAAGGATCCAGGTAAAGTCACAGTGTAGAAAGTCTCATGTACCATTGCAGACTCTGGCTCTGTGAATACCCAGTGAGGGCAGGAAGATCACAAGATTAGAAGATGGGGTGAAGTATCTGCTTCCACAGTTTCTTCCCCTTCTCTATTGGAAAAGTCAAGTAGTGAGAAGTATCTTGTACCGTCTCTCTGTGTTCAAAGGGATGTATCTTGCTCCAGCACCACCTCCCCTGATCCTTCTACAGCAGGTTAGGCATCATTTCTCCAAAGGAATATGTAGTGGGCAGCTGTTCCAGCTTTGACCTTGAAGCACTGTCCCAGTGAGGCAGCTGGTAACTGCCACACCTGCATAGGACCTGCCCCTGGGATGTGGTGGGGACAGGAGCCGTTAAGACCCGAGATCCAGATGTGCCAGTTCTCTTGGCTCCTTGTGATCCTGGATGCTGGATGACAGGCAAAGTCAAAGTTCTCCAAAGATCCCCGCTGAACTGTACCTCACCTCTCCCGGATCCCAACCCCTTTACTGGCTGTAAGTTACCCCAAAATAAACCTCCTTTTAACTATGTGGAGTTGCCTTGTTAAATCCCTGCATTATCTGGCACCCAACATAGGGTATGAACCCAATGCTGTGGGATAATGCCCTTGTACACTGGTTTAATAAAACACTGATTGGCCAGTAGCCAGGTAGAAAGTATAGGTGGGGCGAGCAGATGAGGAGAATTCTGAGAAGAGGAAGGGCTGAGTCAGGAGTCGACAGCCAGACACAGAGGAAGCAAGATGACAAGGCAGAACTGAGAAAAGGTACCAAGCCATGTGGCTAAACATAGATAAGAATATGGGTTAAATTAAGTGCAAGAGCTAGTCAGTAATAAACCTGAGCTAATGGCCAAGCAGTTATAATTAATATAAGCCTCTGTGTGCTTACTTGGGGAATGCGAGTGGGAGAGATTTGCCCCGACCACCAGCCAGCCAGGAAACAGGAAAATTTCTAACTACAGGAGCGCCAACTAATTTTCAAGAGACTTTTAGACTGCCTGAGTGAGTCTTTAGCCTCCTCTTTTACATGTTTCTAGGAAGCAGTTATAGAACTTAACTACATACATACCACAAATCAAAAATCCTTATTTGGCAGATGACTATAGTTCATTAAACACAAACTGCTTCTTCTAACACCAAAAACTACTGGAAGCAATCAAGAGGTAAGAGATTGTGTGGAACATTATAAAGAGAAGCCACTTTCTGTTACCCCTGTGTGATTTATATGAACACAAAGGTTCAACAAGGTCAACCTCAGCTTGTGCCCAGCTCAATAGCCCCTCATAGACATGTACTAAAGCAAATGTCCATCATTGCCTCAAGTACAAAAGGTCAAATGAAAAATCTTAAAGCCAAATGCCTGTCACTTCTAGGAATTCTATATTTTCTATAGGCAGCATAGTAAAACTGCTAGGGGAAAAAATGAAGCGTTCATATGCTTTAACTTTTTTACTCATCACAACTGTTGAGAGTTGAAGGGATAACCACAGAATAACCACAGACTAAGGCAAAGTTGATCTTTTCCTTTTCAGCATTCTCAGTACTGACAAGAGGAGAGCATATAGGAGCTGTCAAATAGGACACATTTTGAATATGGCAACAGGTCAGGAAGCCATAAGAGGGATGTAGTATAAGAAAAGGGAAATGTCTTGAGTTTCAGCCAGAGCATATCATGGGACAGTATCCATTCCGCATCAGTCCTCAGGAATATGTGCAAAGAGTGCATAGAAAAACAGCAAAGAAGATAGAACACTTGGGCTGTGCTAGCCATCACCTTGTGTCTCCAGAGCAGCCAGCTGCATCCGCCATATCATTGGTGGCCAGTCATAGCAAGTTATTCACACTTCAGCTCTGTTCACCATGCTCACTCAGGCTTCTAAACCCTGGCTTTATCTCACTTTCTAGCCTACTCTCTGCCTCTGAAAATTCAAGGGTTTATGTGTTTGTCACACTTGAACTCTCAGTGCCCGGTTTGTGCCACCCAGTCGATTCACCCTCACCATCCTATCCTCCCTCCTATTGGCTGCTGTCCAAACTCGGACTTTTCCTATGAGGACCATCATGTCTACCCATTCACATCCTTCAAAATGCTACCATTCTCCTAGTTCTATTCTAGACCCAGGTAGAGCTGATGTTCAAAATATTTAACAACTTGTACAACATAGGCACTAACCAGTACAACAAATTCCTACAGGAAGCCATAAGCATCAAGGGCAGGTGCTCATTTGCTCCATATGAACCCTGAAGAAAAAATGAAGCAACTGAATTCTATATTTGGGATCAGTGATTTCTGTGGTTAGCCTTGGTGTCCTTCAAGTGACTCCCAACTATCTTCAAGTACAGCTTGTTTGGCTGAGCCTCTTAGACCCAGAAGACAGATCCATCTCTTTAGAAATAAAGATTCTATCTACATGTTTAGGCTTTAAGGTGGATTGGGTTTTGTTTTGTTTTTAAATACTTAAGTAACCCATATAAGTATGCATCTCCACATTTTAACATTCCAGCTTCAACTATATTTTCCTCAATAGTGATTTTTTCCCATAGGATAGGCCCCATTCCTGGTTACCATTCTACCACAAAGCAACAAGGAAGTTCCAAGGGAATGTGTCATTCTGGACTGGGAGCTTCTTCTGCATCATGGTTGTCAGGAAAAGCTGAGCTAGTCCTCATGAACTCTTCTACCGCACCTCCAAATAAGGTCACTGTATGATTTAGACATGAAATATCCTCCCCCAAAGGTCCTTATGGTGAAGACTTGGTTCCAGCCTGTTTTGCTATCAGGAAGTGATGCAACCCTTAGGAGACAACGCTGGTGGGAAGATAGGAGATCACCAGGGCATGACCTTCAATGGGATATTGGGACCCTGACCTCTTTCTGTTTGCTTCCTGGCCACCCTGAGATGAGCATGTTTGCTCTGCCACATGCTTCCTGCCATGATGTGCTGACTCACCACAGGCCCAACGTGATGGGGTCACATGACCATGAATTGAAACTTCTGAAATTATGAGTCAAGAAAAATTTATCTCAGAATGAGGAGGTGTCAGATATTTTGTCACAGTGACACAAAGCTGATTAACACAGAAAACTGGAGCTGAGAAGGGTGACCATTGACAGTGTGCTTTAGAGGCCAGTGGAAGTGATTTGTGGGGGAACTGGGGAAAGTTAACAGAAGCGGACTAGAATCTTGAGTGGATTCTAGAAGACAACATAACAGGAATGTGGACAGAAAAGACTGTGCACATGAGGATTCAGGGGAGCAGGGACAATTGGAACAGGGCTAGAAGCCATTCTGGCAAGCAACTCGTCTACATTTTCCACTCCTCAACACTTTGTGGGAGCTTGAGTTCAACCGACAAAGACTACTTAATCTAATGGAGGAAATTTCAAAACATGTAGCATTCAGGCTGTAGCATGGGTATTGCTGGTCACTTTTTTCAAGCTTTATAGTGCTTTGCAAAGCAACAAATCAGGGAAATCTGAAGATAAACCACATGTAGAGTTATAGCCAAAGAAGGTCTGATTCCAAAAGGATTTGTACCAATTAAAGGAAGCCAGGTGCTTTGCACAAGAATCATAGGAAAGATGGCTTAAGTACATCTTGGGAATCAAAAAGAACCCATCACAGGCTAAGAGATTTCTTTTGAGATGAAAAATTCTAGGTCAAGGGAGTTATTTCCCTGAGCTGTGTTTCCAATATTGGAGTATTCAGCAATCTTGGCAGTCATGGGCCATGGAAGCCCAGCCCCCACTCAAACCAGTAGCAGACCTTGGCATCATTCACGTGACATTAGTTTTACATGGATGCAGATGCAAGAGTTATAGGCTCATGCAATATTACCCCAGATTTTCAGAGACTGGCTTGGGAGTCCGTGCATTGTGTGACGGGGTCAGACTTCTAAAAAGCAGCCCCTGACAGAGCAATATGCGATGCTGTAAGAGTCAAGCCAAAGATGCAATGGAGACTTCAGAAAGTCAGAGATGAAATACCTGCTGGGAAAGTTGTAAGCATCAAGCAAAGATGACCAAGAGAGGCCATGTGAACTGCAGTCAGCAAGGTGGGAAGCCCTTTGCAGATCCTATCACGCCACTCTGTGCCCTGGACCCTGGAATAAGGATATTAGATTTACTAAAACCTATGTTTGGTTTGGTCTTCCTTGGGTCTAATCTTAGTATCTATCTACCTATTCCCCTCTTTTGTGGATGGTAATGCTTACCTTATGTCTTGGATGCTGGAAGCATATAACTTAGATCTTTATAAGGCTCACAGCCCAAATTTTGCCTTGAGTCACACAGGAGACTATAGATTGGGATCTTTGGACAAAGTTGGAACTATTTATCCCTTAGGGACACTTGGGAATGCACTAAATGCACTTTTTTTCATTATTAAATGGCCCCTTTTGAGGACTAAGGGTGAAATGCTGCAGTTTGGATCTGAAGTATCCTGCAAAGGCCCATGTGTTAAAAGCTTGATCACCAGCCTGAGCTGTCACTAGGAGGGAGTGAAACTTTTAGAAAACTGGGCCTGGTAGAAAGGAGTGAGATCACTGTGGTTATGCACTTTAGAAGACATGGGAACCCTGGACCCTCGTCTATTTGCTTCCTGGCTGCTGTGATGTAAGAGGTGTTGCTCTGACACAGACTCCCCCATCAAGTTGTGTGCCTTACCACAAGCTCAAAAGCAATGAAACCAACTGGCCATGGGTTAAAACCACTGAAACTGTGAGTCAAAATAAGTCTTTCTTCCTTATGAGTTGACTACCTTGGAAATTTTGTCACAGTGACACAAAGCTGACTAACATAGTACTCTGACTCCCACACATCACTGGGGGCCATGGAGGGGGGCACTCCATTAAATATTTCCAAATATAAATCCTATTTTAGGAGGCAAAGCCAGTTTATTTAAGTTGCTATCATGGTTAAGACATACAGCCATTTCCTGGAACTGGAAGCCCCTCAGAGGTATTTGGAAGCCCAAAGTGACACTATCACGAACTGTGAATGTGCTTCCTCAAGCATCTCTGTTGCGGTCTAGATACACCCTAACCTAATGTAACCTGACTATAGATGTGCTGTCTTCCTTCACATTCCTTGGGGCTGCCAGCTTCAGACAAGGATTGGCCCAACAGTGCTCAGCATCACGGGGTACCCTCAGAGGCAGAAAAGAAGTCGTCATCTAACCATCTTGTCTGGACACTGTTATTTTAGAACACAGATATCCCTTCCCTCCAGAAATGTATGAAGTCCTTGACAACCTTGACAAGACCATTGGCTTCATAGCATATGTGTCAGCCAAATCATGAAGTGAATTATAAGGCTTCAATTGTAACTAAACCTACATTTTACCATGTTCTACCACATTTGAGGCTTCAGGCTGAGCTATTCATATACATCTTTGTATTTAGTCCAGCTGGTCAAGTACCACAAAAGACCAGAGGCTGCAAATGGAGAGAAATAATTCTCTAGAGGAATGAAATGGCTTTATTAGAAGATGAGGACCTTGCTTACTCAATTTAGTTACCTTTAGG